CGCTCCGGCACATTTTAGCTGTGCTGTACTAGGTGTTCTCAGCAACACCTGTCATTACTGGTGGATTGGTAGAGAAGGAGCCACTGTATAACCTCCCCGCTACAAGCCAGATTTGCATCATCTGGATTTTTACTTCTGGGGACACCTAAATACCCTTGTGTATGCAGCTCCTGTTGACAGCGGAGAGGCACAACGCATTATGGATGCCTGTCAGACTGTCTGCAACTGCCCTTGCATCTTTGAACAACGGTCAATCATGAGACGTGTCCAGGCATGTATTTTGACTCATGTTGGACATTTTGAGAAATGAATATAAATATGCTCTTTCAGCCATAATTCACAAATTAAACGTTTCCGGACATATGTTGATATGAACATCTTTCTTATTTTGGCATGTGGAGCTCGTGCCCCAAATTTGTCTTCACATTTCAGTTACACTTTGTGTAGAACTTCAAGCATCATTACATTGTTAACAGAACGTCATTATTTCAGAGGCCTAAGCTTAAATGAGAGATTAATATTAAAATTGATCTTAATGAAATAAGGTGTGGGGTCAGATACTGGAGTCAGCGGCAGGCATTTGTAAACGGAGTGAACAACTTTCGAATTCTACAAAAAACTGTGATTTCCGTGACCATCTGAAGGACTCTCGGCTTCTGATAACGTGCATCAGAAGCTGATTATCAGTTTTCATGAAGTTCTTTTTTTTTTTTTTGCTAGTGGGGGGGGACTAAGTCCATTGTACTGTGGCCACTTCTGGCCTATTGTACCAGCTCCAGATGATAGGTGAGGGTGATTGTGGAGTAATTGGTGGAATGAAGATTGGCAGGGAAAACCGAAGTAGTCGGAGAAAACCTGCCCCAGCGCCACTTTGTCCACCACAAATCCCACTTGACAAGACCCCGGGATCGAACCCGGGTCGCCTCAGTGGGAAGCCAGCGACTAACCACTTGAAGTGTGGCGCGGCCTCTCATGAAGTTAAGCGAGACGTAAAAATTCAATAACTAAAAACTTGTATTGGTGGGTTAAAGTCTATTGTATGTAATACAATCCAGGTGTCTTATCAACAGTGCGCGCTATAAAGCTTTGCTACGTATTAGGATAGCTTATCTAAATGACTCATGAAGACTGGACCAGTTTGATAAGAAAGAGGTCAGAACATAGAATAGAGCAGATTACATAATACGGAGCTATGTAATTCGTATTCTTTGCGTAATTATTAGGACGAATACATTCAGGAAATATGAGCGAGAGATGAGTACTCAATGAAGGTATGAGAAATTCATGCAGAGTATTGCTCGGAAACCTGGAGGTGAGAGAACATATAGGAGAAAAGGTAAAGAGGGTTTCAGTGCTTGAGTTGCAGTCATTTGGAAGAGGATAGACAGCAACGACCCTGTTCTGTGACCACCATGAGAAGGCTTCAGTTTACGATCATCTTCTGAAATGCTCCGCTACAAACACCATACAACCTCGAATATAAGGCGATCCTCCAGTTTTCCAGCGAGAAACTCAAAAGGAAAACATTAAGAAAATTGATTATGCCATCTAGTTCTGAGGTTAGCGAACAAAAAGCAAAAACTATACTATTAAGAAAGTACATTCAAAATTTTATATCTTAAATATAATTCTAGGTATTTTCACAAATATCGTTAAGTATTAGCAATTAGAAATTCTCATAGTCATTTTTTTATTCTTAATAATCCGAAAATAAATCGACCATTCATTTCTAAGAAGCAGTAAGTCGAAAAAGAACCTCACCTTATGTTTAGGCTAATGAGATAGTCAGTCATGCAGAAGTCTTCGGGTTGGTATCCGGTGAGTATTAAGTGAAAACGAGCTATTGTAACAAACACTTATTGTTTAGAGTTCTGTCTTCTGGGATATAACGCCGTGCAGTCCGTTGTAAGTCGACTGATGTTTCAGAGGAACATGTCGCCTTCACTTTAAAGGTCTAAGAAAAAGCCAAGATAGATACAAGTGTGAAAGCAAATGGGCAGGCAGTCTCTGTTTCCCATCTGTTTTCACGCTGGTTTCTTGCTTGGCGTGTTCTTCGACCCTGAAGATGAAGGCGACATGTTCCTCCGAAACATCGGTTGATTTTCAACGCACTATACTGCGTTATAACCCATAAAATCAAACTCTGCCCAACCACGGCTCTGTGACCTTCAAATCTTACTCTGAGTGTTTATTTCGTAGCTTTTCATTCAGTAGAAACTGAAAAAGTGGCGAATAGTAGGGAGCCGGGATAGTGTATAGGTATAGCGACTGGCTACGGGTTGGACGACCGAAGGATTGGAGTTCGAGTCCCGGTAAGGTCAAGAATTTTCTCTTCTCCACGTCGTCCAGACCGGCTCTAGGTCCCACCCAACCTCCTAGCCAATGGGTACGGGGTCTCCTTCCCTGTGAATAAAGCACTTGGGGCGTGAAGCTGACCACTGACCTCCAACTAGTCCCGAACTCAGGAAAATGTGGATCTGTACATCCACTCCCCGCATACGTCTTAAAGTCATAGTGCTTAATTAGTGAAGCACAGGGACAATTTTACGTACCTTTTTATCTTAAACGGAGGATAGTATTTTGAAACAGTTTTCGTTCAGGAGCCAGTATTTTGATGTCTGATTTGATAACCGCGTGTCTTGGTGTTCTGTTTCCTGTTACAGTGAGATCAATATAGATTTTCAGAGTGAAGTACTGAATTGTGAGAAGATTTCAGCGCAGCATGGAGTGGCTCGCTCTGTGGAGCAACGATGTATGATTTCTGTCCGCAAGAATCACGTTGGCCATATGAAGCTGTTCGTGTCACACTGGATAAGGGGTTGTGAACACGACAGATTACGGGTCGCCATGTGTTACACATGACACGAAGTGCTCTCTTCGTTATTCCGGGTCCAATGATTTACGGCAGGCGGCAGCCGTAAGCTTCAGCACTGAAGCTGAAACTGTACTGCTTCGGCAGCCTGACTCCCGCTGCTGTGCTCTCTCGGTTAGGTTACGTATAGTCTCCTGCCAGTATGAATATAAATTTGCAATGACGTAGAGTGAACCGGCCGTGGCCTGTTTTAAGCTTAAACCCCAGCGTTTACGTAGAGAGATTTAAGAAACCGCCAAGATAATTTCATTCAGAATCCAGCGTAGGGCGTCGCACCCTGAGAAATCTATTATTATTATTATTATTATTATTATTATTTGTCGTTCACTTCACTCATGGAGCTGAGCCCTTCTTGAGAAGCCGCCAATCATGCAGGTACTCAAGAACTTCCCAGCATTTTATGGAACCCGAAAGTTCATTACCATGTTCACAAGATCCCTCCACTGGTTCCTATCCTGAACCAGATCAATCCAATCTATATCCATTCTATATCTCTAAGATCCATTTTAAGTTTGTCCACCCACCTGCGCCTTGTTCTTCCCAGTGGGCTCTTTCCTTCTGGCTTTCCCAGCAATATCCTATATGCATTTCCCCATTTGTGCTACATGCCCTGTCCATCTCATCCTACTTGATTTGATCATTCTAATTATACTTGGAGAAGAGTAAAAGTTATGAAGCTCCTCATTATGCAATTTTCTCAAACCTACTGTCATTTCATCTCTCTTCGGTCCAAATATTTTCCTCAACACCCTGTCCTCAAACACCCTCAGTCTATGTTCCTCCCTTAATGTCAGAGACAAATTTCCCACCCATACAGAACCATAGGCAAAATAATTTTTTTTATGTTCTAATTTTTATGTATTTGGACAGCAGAAGAATAGACCAAAGATTCTGTACTGAATGGTAGCAAGTATTATTCGCGTTCAATCTTCTCTTAATTTCCTCCTAAATCAGGATTTGATTTGTTATCGTCGTTCCCTAATATCTGAACTGTCCCACATTTATTTTTAATATTATCACTAGTGCAAAATCTGAATTCTACGGAATATGAATGTACGTATACAATTTTTTCTCTCTCCGCGTAATGGCTGGCGCTGTTGACTGTGGTGAATTTTTATTACTGTTCGCTCTGCCGTGGTTTGGCTTAGTTTGTTTGTGTGCGTATGTTTGATTCCATATTTACGCGTGCTCGTTTTTTAATTGACATTTTCGTTGTTGGGTAAGCACGAAAATAAATGAAGGAATGGATTGAATTGTTATTATTACTATAAATTGATTTATTTGAAAACTTAATTGTCTCTTGTCAAATTTTATATTAGCTGTGGTTCTTTCGATAATTAAAACATTAGTTTTCATTGCAAATGTATATATTTTATTTTTTCCACTTCTTAACAATAACTTCGATCTGTAGATTCTAAAGGTTTCTGACGTTGGTATATAATATTAAGAATTACTGGGAGTTTTCGGACTTTGTCCAGTATTCTATGAACTAGAAAACAACGTTTCGGAAACTAGATCTGTTTACGTCCTCATGTGAAGGGGAGACACCTACTCTGTTGGGTCCCTTATAAAGAGGTAACCTCAATCACATGATCAATATCCAGTTATTGAGGTTAGAAATAAACATGACGAATACATTTCTCATACTACTTGGTAAAAATAAACAACACAGACTATATAAAACTCCTTCTCCTCTGATATAAACGCCTACTGATTTTTCATAGAAGCTGACGACTTGATAGCGGAAATGCATGTTACTTAATTTACAAAATAAACTGTGTATAGGAGAGAGGTAATTGGAGTTCGATCAATCCATTAATACTGAAATCTTGCGATTTAAAATTAATTCAAACCAAAATATTCAGTTTCTGCATGTTTTGGCCACAGAACCATCACCCAGAAGCATTAACACATGATTGAATTATGCAACTCATTTTCACTTTGTGTCCACTTGCTCTTATTTTTGAATGGGGCGTTCTACTAATTTTTATGCTGATCTATTTCCAAACGTTCGTGAATAATTAATTATAATATTAATTCAGCTCGACTAACTTATACCTATTTCCTTTTAATGAATTATTCAGTACTAATATAATACGGATTAAATCATTTTCATTGGAATGTAAGCTTAACTTGCTTCTGCGTTACATGTACTAAAATGGGAACGATACAGAGATAATTGGCATGGTCCCTACGCAAGGCTGACACGGGACAGAGTGAAGAGTTTCACATTTTTGGTGTCGATTATGATAAAAAAAATTAGGAGCAGGAAGCAAATGTCGGAAATATTCCTTTGTATACAGGACTACCCAGCTCTGGAACCAACTACCTGCAGCTGATTTAGGGACCCTCTCCTGTAAAACCAAGTAATTTTAGGAAAATGTTTAGGAAAGTGGTAAATAAGGCAAAGTGAAGGTGTGGGGGAAATCATAAAAAATGCAGTGAAGTGAAGTGGAGGGGAAGGGAAGTAAATTGTGGTGAGGATGTGAAGGGTGTGTAAATGTAGTGAAGTGGAATGAAGGGAAGGCCATGGTGAAATGTTAGTGCATCAGATCATGGCATTGCGTATTCCATTACTGTTACTTCTTTATAGTGTAGTATGTCTGTTTTTATTAATATTAATTTATGTAATTGTAGTTTTAATTGTATTTGTAACTGTATTTGCACTGTATTCAATATGTGTAGTATGTCCTTTATAGTTGTGGTGTGTTGTTTTGTGTGATGTATGTATTAATATTAATTTATGTAATTGTAGTTCTAATTGTATTTGTAACTGTATTTGCACTGTATTCAATATGTATAGTGTGTCCTTTATAGTTGTGGTGTGTTATTTTCTGTGATGTATGTTATTTATGCGTTGTGTCTTATTGTAGTACCACTACCACCGGCTAAAAGCCCATTTGCAGTTGAAACAAATAAATAATAATAATAATAACGTCCGAACAGATGTAGGGCACAGAGTTGTGTATTTCTGTTACTAATATACATATTTTGAATATCATCCGTAGGTAGTGGCATTATACGTACGTTTCTGGGGTTTGCATTCCCTGACTTCTGACCGGTGTGGTGGACTAACGAATGTTGTGTTAACTTATGGGACGTATAGATGTTGTTACGTACTGTTGCTAGGCTGCCGTACAGCCTTCACATTGTCACGAAGGCTATATCATTAAATGATGGAATGACCGATAAACGTTGAATTCAAAATGATTCGAAAGGAAGTGGTAGTGGCCCAATTGAAATACTGTGCCAAATCTTATAAATAAAATACTAGCATACTCAGCCCAAAAAAAAAATTAAGCAAAACCAACTGCGCCGTACTCAATATTCAAACCAGATACGTACAATTCAGATTCACCCTCAGCAAAATCAAAGGGAGTGCGATTAGGTTCAGCCAAACAAGAAATTAGGAATTAAGGAAGATCACGAAGAATCTCAGAATAACAGCTGTTCTCGGCGAAATTCGAACCGGGAGCCTCCCGAATGCAAGACTAGAGGGTTACCGCTTGATCTGAATGAGATAAATACAGCTGAACCACATACAGTGGTTGGATAAAAAGTAGTGGCAGCACTGCTGTAACATGAAAGGTGTGCTTCAGGCGGCACTAGCGCCGTCTGTAGCTGTAAGCAGAAGTTCAGTTGAAGTAGTGCAGTGAGTGGTTCTGGTTGTGTTTCATTGAGTTGCATTGTGCATTATCTTGAAGTGCAGGAGCCCAGTTCAAGCACCCTAACAGCATGTTTACGAAACAAGTACAACGCTCCTGGATAAGAATTGAAGTTGCACGAGGTCGTAGTGCACAAAACTGTTATCAGGGACTGCGAGAAGCATGTGGTGATGCTGCTTTGCCATATCGCACAGTGGCACGATGGGTGAAATTGTTCCGTGAAAGGAGGGATGCCGTTCAGGACAGCCGTCGTTCAGGACGACCCCATGTTGGCAAACACACAATTCAACTTCTTGCTTCTTTGCTGGATGTCGATCGTCGATGGGTTGCGCGGGAGATAGCTGCTGAGGTATGTCACAAAACCGTACTCCACATTCTGCACGATATTCTTGGATGCCGCCAAATTGCAGCTCGTTGGCTACCCCATAAAATGTCCGAGGTGCAACAATGACAACGTTATGCAATTGCACAGGACTTGTTGGACCAGTACCAGAGGGAAGGTGACGACTTCCATGGAAGGATTGTCACTCTGGACAAAACTTGGGCTCGCTCATACGAACCGCACTTGAAGCGACAGTCAAATGAATGGATGCATCCTGGCAGTTCGACAGTCGATTTTGATATCTTTTTCGAACCATCTCTTGAAGAAATGAATCTAGGAAATGTCTGGTTCCGACAGGATGGTGCCACGGCCCACACAGCCTCAAGGCAGAGGTTTTTAAACATCGCCCCACAAACCTGCTTCAGGTGAAGAATGTTATTCGGCAGGAAGTAGCCCAAATTCCGGTGCACATGTTGGAACGTGCAGAGGGGAACTTCAGAAAACGGTTGCATCAGTGCATAGAGAACGGTGGCCACCACCTNCTGCTCTCTGCATTCCAAGCCATTTAACTGCTCTGAAGATGGAGGCGATACGTTCCTCCGAAACGTCGGCCAAAACGAAGAATACACGGCACCTAAACCCAGAAGACGACTTTCTTCATAGTCATCGCCGTGAAAACCTCAAAACTTAAAATTTTTCTTTTATTCGCCTTCAAAAAAAGGAAGTTTCTGCGCCCCACTCTGTATTACACTGCCTATAGAAGAAGAGAAACGTTGAGCAGTGTTTAATGAATTAGAGCAGAGCAAGAGTGACATTAAGAAGGAAGTTTGGAAAACAAATAGGGAAGGACACACCTCTGGGAGTTTAAATGTGGTCAGAAAACCGACACTACGACAGCTAATGCTAGGCTCTGGTTAATGCGAGGAACTACGAACGACGTATCCACGCAGCGAGAAAAGGTCATTCCTCAGACCATTAGTTAGAGTAAAAGGGGGAGGTCATGTCCGAAGTGAACAACTTCTCCGGAAAATTGGGGAAGACAGTATGATCCACGAAATTGGGAACTACAGTCAGAAATGGAAGGAGCATATGCAACGGACTCCAACAGATCATATAACCAGAGCGGCGATTATGTCCAGCGAACGACGATCAGCGTCTCAAAGTGTTCTCTGCTCCGTGAAGTTAACGACGTTCCTTCTGAAGAAAAGCGAACTAACACAATCACGCCATAATTTGAAAATTTCGCGTGATACTTGCTGCAAAATTTAGTAATCTGATGTTCGAAAGAAAAATTTGTTAAATCTTCTATGGCAGTCGATTAAATAAACTATTCGGCGATTACATTTTAATTGACACCTTATATGATTATCAATATACAATAATTACAACTGATAACATGACGATAAGCTCTGACTGATCAGACCAAAGCATGGCGTGCTAGTTCAGCTTGCAGCCCTATTCCATTATAACAATGCAGTATTCGGTGGTTATCACCGATAACTTTGGATAACACAACCCCGTTATCATAATCCTCTCGTTGCATGTCCCACGATTCATTGCATGCCGAGGGAACTGTCCACAAGCAAATAATTCAGCAGTTTCCCTACACACGGAACAGCAGGATAACGCATGAGATTTGGCCCTTCATTATCTGATATACTTCCAAATATATCACATTTACGTCTTTGTGGTCTGCTCTTTCTTAGTCTGCTGTATTGATTCAGTTCAGTGTAATCAGATTCTGTGTCTCCTGTGGGATTAGTGAAGGTGATACCAGCAACATATTCATGCAACCTATAACCTGTAATGTTATGTTACGAATTGGAGCAGTGTTTCTCAGCCGATGGGTGGCGAAGCAGAATATTAGGTCTCGAAATTAAGAACTTCCATAAGTAAGGTAAAATTAAAGCTATCGCTGCATCAGGCCGTGGAGGCCCACAGCGTTGTGAGACGTCGAGGCTCCCACATTTTCTCTAGACAATCGGAACACAGATGGCAGTGAAGTTATCAGCCTTACGCACCGGCCTCCCATTACCCCCATCCTCCCAGGAAGATTTATGGTACTCGTTTCTGATAGAGACTGAGTCGACCCCAGGGCCATAGTGCGGCTGGAAGGATTAGGTCAATTGAAAAGCTCAATTACCAATCGGGAATCGATCCCGCGACCTATCGGCTTGTAGCATAATGTCTCAACCAATATAACATTAAAGTGTACACAATTTAAAAGTCACACTTTTTGTAAAAAGATAAACTATGTTGCATAATTATAGCTATGGTGGGACTACGGTTTTTTGACGAAATATCCTGTGGGACGCAAGATGCGGAATTTTAAATCTATGCATTAGAAACTTTGAATTTAATACATTTCTGTCGTAATGTAATTATTCGAACTCAGGAAAGCAGATTATCTACTTTTGGACCCAGAATTTAATCTAATCGACTAAATAATTGAACAGTCTAACACACTAGCCCATGAACTAGTTTGGATTTCATTGTTCGATTAAAAATATATATTATCTAAATATGATAATAAGTTGGCCCTGTTCTTAACTAATTAAGCACTTCGCCATTAAGGCGTATTGGGGAGTGGATATATAGATCAACATTTCCTTAACCTCGGGGCGAGCTAGAGGTGAATTGTCAGCTTCACGCCCCGGAGGCTTTACCTCTGGGGAAAAAGCCCCCCGAACCCATTGAATATGAAGTTGAGTGGGCCCCAGAACCGGTCTGGACGACGTGGATGAGAGTTCTTTAAACGTTGTTGTCACGTGTAGTAGTCCTGTTAATGAATCTGTTAGTAAACCACAATTAAATAAATTTCTGTCGGATTTGAAGTTCGCTCAGTGGTTGTTGTCAACGCCATATACTCACAGTGCATGTTTCCTGCTTCATGCTGGTTTCTTGCTCGGCCTCTTATTCAGTCACGTTCCTCGAAAACATCGGTTGACTTTCATAGGATTACGCGACTCTGTATTCCAGAAGATTAATCTTCACAAATAAATTTTCGTTCTTTATTGTGGCACATTTTCTCAAAGCAGAAACTCTGGAGCCAGAGAAACAGCCGTTGGTAGCGAACGTCCTGAATCAACAGTTTCTGGGCAACGGTTAGGAAAAACGTTCCCTCTGCAACGGATACGCATGCAACAATAGAGGTACCATTGGGAACTTTGTTTTCTTGTCGGTCCATATAAATGGGTTATAAGGAAAACAACTAGGGCAACCAAGTCAAATCTGTACGATATTTTGTGC